GGGGGGGGGGGGGGGGGGGGGGGATTGCAAAGGGCTTAAGGCAAGACAGCACTTGGCCTAACAGCAATAGCCAAAAAGGAAGAATGGCCAGAGCAGAGTGAACAAGGCCACAAAGCGGAGAAAATAAGCAGAAAACTCAAGCCGGATCCCAGAGGGCCTCAAAGTAGGTAAGGGTGGAACGACGGGTTTAGATTTTATTCTAACGGTGGCAAGAAGCAACCAGAGGGCTTTGAACAGGGGTGATCTTGTTTCTGTTTTAAATAGATTACTCTGGTGCTCAGTTTCAGCAGCATATATACCAGAGTTGGAATAACACGGAGGAGATCAATGCACAAGAATAAAAGGCAAATCTGTGAAGCATTCCAAATTTTTAAAGCAGAAATTTATGAGATTGGTTACCCGCAGCAAGTGGATGGAAAGGGGTGGAAAGAATGAGGGCATAGGGTAGTAGGGATGAGAGGGAGCATGGACTGGATGGACTGGAATTGTAGGTATCAGTATGAACTCACAGTCTTAAATATATAAAGAGAGAGAGAGAGAGAGAAATATAGATAAGTGCATATGCACACATTAGTATATATACATATATTTCCCAGTTCTACTAGCTGAGGGGGGTAATGACATCCCAGGGATAATGAGCATACCTAGAGCCTAGAACTTGGTGTCTAAATACCATTCCCCCAAAATAGGAACCAGGGCTCCTGAGAGAAACGGCTGATTCCAAGGATGGGCCAGGGAAGTACAAGCTGAGCCTGGAACGTCTTGTGGGGACTGAAAGGAAGGATGTGCTCAGACATTATTGGAGGCCTACAGAAAGGACACAGGAGCCAATGTGAAGGAGCTCCCAATGGCCAACACTGGTACAATTTGAGCAATAATGAAGTTGCTGGATTCTGACTCATGGAATAAAGTAAATGCCCTAGACTCCATACTAATATAAGTAACTGAATAAATGAATGGGTGAGAAAGTACAGTTCTTGCTTATAGAAAAATTGCAATTAAATGGAATACTACATGGCAATGAGAAAGAATGAAATCTGGCCATGTGTAGCAACATGGATGGAACTTGAGGGTGTTATGCTGAGCGAGATAAGTCAGGCAGAGAAGGACAGATACCATATGTTTGCACGTATAGGAGGATTAGGAGGAACTTAACGGAGGACTGTGGGGGAGAAGAAGGGGGGAAATAGTGGGGGAAAGGGAGAGAGGCAAACCATGAGAGACTCCTGAATGCTGAGAACAAACCGAGGGCTGATGGGGATGGGGGGGAGGGGAAGAGGGGTGACAGGCATGGAGAGGGCACTTGTGGGGATGAGCACTGGGTATTATACGGAAACCAACTGGACAATAAACTATTAAAAAATAAATAAAAAAATAAATTTTTTTAAATAAAAAAATGTTAAAAAAAGAAAAATTGCAATTAATAAATATAGAAGGAATAAGGGAAATAGAAAATTACCATGAGGACACCAGTAATAATTACTACAGGCCAGAACCATCAATGGATGCTAAAAGTAATGCTTAATTAAGTTTGAGATGAAATAGAACATTTGTGTAATATCAAAGTTTTCCTCCCTATTTATTAATTACAAGGGAAAAAATAGTAACGTTATAGTGGAAAAACATAGAAGATACTATCTTCTATCAATCATGTGATCAAAAGTACCATTATTTTAAGTAATAACATATAGTAACATCTTGTGTCCCTGCTCTGAGGCACTAAGAAGGACAGATCATTAACCATGATCTTATTGCCTCATTTAAGAATGAAATATTGGGGTGCCTGGGTGGCTTGGTCGGTTAAGCATCCAACTTTGGCTCAGGTCATGATCTCATGGTTCATGGGTTCGAGCCCCGCGTCGGGCTCTGTGCTGACAGCTCAGAGCCTGGAGCCTGTTTCAGATTCTGTGTCTCCCTCTCTCTCTGACCCTCCCCTGATCACACTGTCTGTCTGTCTCTCTCTCAGAAATAAATAAAAACATTAAAATTTTTTTAAAAAGGGGCGCCTGGGTGGCTCAGTTGGTTAAGCGTCCAACTTTGGCTCAGGTCATGATCTCATGGTTCATGGGTTCGAGCCCCGCGTCGGGCTCTGTGCTGACAGCTCAGAGCCTGGAGCCTGTTTCAGATTCTGGGTCTCCCTCTCTCTCTGACCCTCCCCTGCTCATGCTGTCTCTCTCTCTCCTAGAAATAAATAAAAATATTTTTTAAAAAAAGTGGTTACAGGAGGGACGCCTGGGTGGCTTAGTCAGTTAAGTGTCCGACTTTCACTTAGGTTGTGATCTCACGGTTCGTGGGTTCGAGCCCCGCGTTGGGCTCTGTGCTGACTGCCAGCTCAGAGCCTGGAGCCTGTTTCAGTCTGTGACTCCCTCTCTCTCTGACCCTCCCCTGCTCACGCTGTCTCTCTCTCTCCTAGAAATAAATAAAAATATTTTTTAAAAAAAGTGGTTACAGGAGGGACGCCTGGGTGGCTTAGTCAGTTAAGTGTCCGACTTTCACTTAGGTCGTGATCTCACGGTTCGTGGGTTCGAGCCCCGCGTCGGGCTCTGTGCTGACAGCTCAGAGCCTGGAGCCTGTTTCAGATTCTGGGTCTCCCTCTCTCTCTGACCCTCTGCTGCTCCCGCTGTCTCTCTCTCAGAAATAAAATTTAAAAAAAAAATGAATGAAATATAAAGTGTTTATAAAATATTCATAATTTAGAAAATATAAACAATACATATATAAGCTGTTATAAAATCTATACAATCTTTTTAATTATAATAACTGACAACTTCAAATTGAGGGATGTACTACAACGTGGGTTGGACTTTTCAGAAGTGTTATGGTCCCAAAAGACAGACTAAAAAAAGTCTAAGGGAACATCACAATAAAATGAAACGTGGTACCCTAGGTTAGATCCTGGGCCAGAAAAAGGACATTCATAGGCAAGCTGGCAAAATGAGAGTGAGGTCAGGAGGGTTAACAGTGTTGCACTGCTGTTAATTTCCTGGTTTCAACAACTGTATTGTGAGTATCTGAGATGTTAAAATTAGGGAACGCTAAATCGAGGGGTATTTAGCACCTCTGTATTATTTTTGCCACTTTTCTGTAAGTCAAAATTATTTTAAATTTTATTTTTCTTTTTTACGATTTAAAAAATTAAAAAGAACTTTGAAGACATGCGAAGAGCCAAACACAATACGACAAATATTGTAGAAGTCCCCTTTTATGAGTTACCTGGAGCAGTCAAGCTCACAGCGACAGAAAGTAAAATAGAGGCGACCAGAGGCTGGTTATTATTTGGTGGGTACAGAGTTTCAGTTCAGGGTGATGAAGTAGTTCTGGAGCTGGGCAGTACTTAATGCTTGCACAGCAATGTGAATGTACTTAATGCCATTGGACTCACACGTAAATATGGGTAAGATGGTAAATTTCATGTAATGTGTATTTTACCACTATAGAAAAAAGTTTCAAAAATGATTTCTTAAGAACCCTGCACACAAAGGTTTATAACAGCTTTATTCATAACTGCCTACGCTTGAAAATAACCAAAATGTACTTCAGGAAGTAAATGCATACACTGTGCTGTGTCCATACAGTGGAATTTCATGCAGTGATTAAAGAAGAAAAGAAATGAGCTATCGAGACAGGAAAAGGAGAAAGCGGAAATGCACATTGCGAAGTGAAAGGGGCCACTCTGTGAAGGCTGTGTACTGTACGACTCCAGCTAGATAATACCGGAATGGTTACGATGACTGTGTAGAGCCTGACGGAGAAGGGACACGTGGGCGTAAACCTCACACCTGTGTCCCTCCTTCTCTTCTCATCTGCTGCTTCAGGTCACTTGACAAAACTTGTAGGTCACGGGTTTTTGAGTGGAGGTGGCTGGGGAAGGCAGAGGGGAGGAGGAGGTGGAGGAGGAGGAGGGGAGGGCGCCCCGCACAGTGACCATGCTAGTCCCTGGCCTTTGCATCACCCATCTTCTACCCCTTCCTAGACATGAATGATGACGGGGATTAAAAATAACAAATATACAATTTTTAAAATCTATACTCTCTGTAGTATGTTGCGTAAACTAGGGGTTAAAAGTGGTTACAGGAGGGACGCCTGGGTGGCTTAGTCAGTTAAGTGTCCGACTTTCACTTAGGTTGTGATCTCACGGTTCGTGGGTTCGAGCCCCGCGTTGGGCTCTGTGCTGACTGCCAGCTCAGAGCCTGGAGCCTGTTTCAGTCTGTGACTCCCTCTCTCTCTGACCCTCCCCTGCTCACGCTGTCTCTCTCTCTCCTAGAAATAAATAAAAATATTTTTTAAAAAAAGTGGTTACAGGAATGGCTGTTAGAAAGCTACCTCAAGTACCCACAAGAGTCTTTGGTTGCCCCTCTAGGGGGAAGTGGCGAGGATAAAGAGAAATGTATTAGCCACGAAAGGGGGTGGGGAGCTGTGGACCACAGGATGCACAGCTGACCCTACTGCCTGCTGAAGCTACATCTTGGGCCTCTGACCTTGACCAGACCCCCCGTGGGGTCACATGGGGACACATGGGGTGATGCCTAGCCTAGCATGGGTCCCGCCCTTGGCAAAGACTCCCACAGAGAGACTGTCACCCAGGACTGGTCCTCTTCTCCAATGCTGGTCCAGCCAATCCTCAGAGACAACTCCCTCAGGAGAAGCCCCCAGAAGGAGGGAGACCAGAGGAAAGAGCACACAAAGCTGCAGCTAGGGAGAATCTGCATGGCAGGAGATCAGCCAACTACAGAGATCACCCCTGCTGAGAGCCAGCCTGGGCGTAGCCTCGAAATCTAGGGCGGCTCCCACATGTTCCTAAACCTGGGTGCGTCGGCAGGAATGTGACTGATGGCCAAGAAAGCGTATCATAGCCAGTGTGGCCAGGGGCAGGGGCATTCTGGCAACTGAATGACAGAGGAAGGCGGATTCCCAGAGAGCAGAGCGAGCCAAAGGAGCAGGAATGCCAGGAATACAAAAGTAGAGACTTCTGTTCCTCTTGTCCTATGGTCACAGATTGTAAAGAAGTCACAGTAGTGAAAAAGTTCCTCCCACTATCAAAAGAACACTCTGCTGATAGCTGGGATCAGTCAGAAAGAAAAAAGAGAATCAAGGCTCTTGATTCTGCCTTGACAAGCTGTGTCCCTTGGAGCCTCCCGTTTTTCTTTAGTGAGATGGGGACAGTAATAACAGTAATCAGCAAATAACAGTATCGTGAGAGGAAGGAGCTAGTACGTGGTAGATGCTCTGAGTCGTGGCTGACACATTTCAAAGAGGCAGAAAGGAGGCTCAGAGACATGAAGGAACTTGTGGGCGACAGAGCCTTGCCAGTCAGGACTCCAAACCATTGGACCCGCACCGCCCAGAAACAGCAGTCACCAGCCACATGCGGCTTTGGGGCCCTTGAAATTTCAGGATCCCAACTGAGATGTGCTGTCAATGTAAAAGACACCAACTTCAAAGACTTAGTACAAAAAAATAAGTAAAATACATCATGAATAATTTTTATACTGATCATATGTTGAGATATTAGTCTGTGGACATATTGGGATAAGTCAAGTGTATCATGAAACGCAATTCCACCTGCTTCTTCAATTTTTTAAATGTGGCTACTCAAACGCTTTCAATTACATTTGTAGCTGGAATGACATTTCTGTGGGACTGCACTGAGCTACAGCACGGTGTCACGTGGCGACACCTCCCTGGGTAGGGGCCGTGGTGAACACCAGAGCTGTGCTGGAATCGTTGGTAACGAGGGGGACCTAAGTCATCTGTTAAAGACAGTCATGCTTGCGGCCCAGAAACCTTTTTAAATGCTGTGGCTACAGGATTGCGAGAAAGGCTCTCCGAGCACAGCTGGACTGGGAATAAGGAGCCGGCGGCAGCTCAGGCAGTCCTGACCCAGCGCATAACACACCAAAGAGTAGGTGGTGATTATTATTATTTTTTTTTTATTATTTGTATTTATTTCTAGGAGAGAGAGAGAGAGACAGCGCGAGCAGGGGAGGGTCAGAGAGAGAGGGAGTCACAGACTGAAACAGGCTCCAGGCTCTGAGCTGGCAGTCAGCACAGAGCCCGACGCAGGGCTCGAACCCATGAACCGCGAGATCATGACCTAAGTGAAAGTCGGACGCCTAACCGACTGAGCCATCCAGGCGCCCCGAGTAGGTGGTGATTATTAACAGAAACAAGGACATAATGATGAAAGTTGAGAATAGCTTCCCAGGTACTTAAAAAAAAATCTTGTTCTTAAAGTTTGTATTACTCTGTCTTTTTTAGGAAATCGTAACTCATTCACATTGCTGTTTTAATAAGGAACTCTATTTTCAAGGGGAGAATAAACACATGATACACGGGTTCTAATCCCATTTCTACTACATGGACACTGCTCAGGGCAGTAGTTAAGAGCACTGGCTCTGGAGACCAACTGCCCGAATTCGGATCCTGGCTGTGCCACTAGCCGAAGGGCCTTGAGCAGGTTACTTCCTCTCTCTGTGCCTCTGTTTCCTCAACTGTACAATGAGTTAACAGCATCTCCCCTTCAGGGTCGTTGTGAGGATTAAATGAGTTAATACATGTACATCAGGACAATGCTAAGCATTTAATAAACACTCAGAAAGTAGGCTTTCTAAGAATTCGTATATTTGTGGGCCGCCTGGGTGGCTCAGTCGGTTGAGCGTCTGACTCTTGGTTTCTGCTCAGGTCATGATCTCACAGTTCGTGAGTTTGAGCCCCGCATCGGGCTCTGTGCTTTGGACCCTCTGTCCCTTCCACCCTCTCTCTACCCCTCCCTCCTCACATTTCTCTCTAAAATAAACATTTTTTTAAAATGATACATAAATTTTTAAAAAATTGTATATTTGTTATTTTTAATCCTCGTCATCATTCATGTCTAGGAAGGGGTAGATGGGTGATGCAAAGGCCAGGGACTAGCATGGTCACTGTGCGGGGCGCCCTCCCCTCCTCCTCCTCCACCTCCTCCTCCCCTCTGCCTTCCCCAGCCACCTCCACTCAAAAACCCGTGACCTACAAGTTTTGTCAAGTGACCTGAAGCAGCAGATGAGAAGAGAAGGAGGGACACAGGTGTGAGGTTTACACTCACGTGTCCCTTCTCTGTCAGGCTCTACACAGTCATCCTAACCATTCCGGGATGAGCACACACCCACTCTCTCTCAGCCGGGCGACAGTAAGGACCCCACTGGGCTCATGTCTCCACTCTCACCACCCCCTCACAAGCCACTGTCCACAGCAGCCAAATAGCTCTTTGAAAAACAGGAGTTGATTATATCACTTTCCTGCTCAAAACTGCCCAATGGTTTCTCACCACGCTCGGAATCATATCCAGACTCCTCGCCATGGCCTAGAAGGCCCTACATGATTTGGTCCTTCTCTGCCTCTCCCATCTTATCCCCTGACACACTCTCCTCACTAAGTCCCCTGGAGCCACATTAGCCTTCTTTCTGTCTGTCCTTCAAACCTTCTAGGCTTATCCCTGTCAGGGCCTCAGCACAGCCACTCTCTCTGCTCTCCCTCCAGATCTCATAGCTGTCTCCTTCCCAACAGTCGGATTTCAGCTCTAATGTTCCCTTCGCAGGAGGACTACTCTCATGCCCCAAAGTTACTACAATTGTTTCTTTTCTTCAAATTACAAATTATTACCTAAAACCCTCTTATCTATCTGTTCATCTTCTGTCACACTCACGGACCTGTCAACCCTTCAGAATGCGAACCTGGACTCACTCGTTGATGCTATGACGCCAGCACACGACACAGTGAGCAGCAGGTGCTCAGTAAATAACTGAGTCTAGTAACTAATGAAAAGCTCAGCGGGCCACTGACCAATTAGTTCCTCCTTGTCTCTGAGCCCCCGTCTCCTTTTCTGCAAAGTGACGGGATGGGGCTGGATATGATCTGAGAGTCCCACCAGCTCTGACATGCTGTGTTCCGGGAATCCCCCAAAAGAAACCCCCCGTTGATCTGCATTTCCCTGGAATTCTGAAGGCGGTTCAGCAACGGCCACATGCTGAGGACAGTCCCCCGGGGAATCAGACAGATGCCTTGTCTTTCCCTTACCAATTAAGAGCACTTGTTCCTCCTCCCTGGATGCCGTCTCTTGGAGATTGTGAAGAAATCTGCTGTTCACCTCAATGACATCATCGATGTTTGAGAACAGGACATCCAGATCCCCCTGGGGCAGCTAGAAGAAACAGAGGACTCACAGGAGTCGCTGGGGTTTCGGTAGGGTGACTTCATTCACAGGCTTTGGAGAGCAGTCCAGAACCTCTGCACCTTCAGAGTCCCACGACTCTCGGGAAGACTGCCCGGTGGAACGTTTGCAAGGCTCTGAAAAATTGTATAAATCTGGGGCGCCTGGGTGGCTCGGTCGATTAAGCATCTGGCTTCGGCACAGGTCATGATCTCTTGGTTTGTGGGTTTGAGCCCCATGTCGGGCTCTGTGCTGACAGCTCAGAGCCTGGAGCCTGCTTCAGATTCTGTGTCTCCCCCCCTCTCTCTGCCCCTCTCCCCACTTGTGTGCTCTCGCTCTCTCTCTCAAAAATAAACATTAAAAAAATAAAAATAAATTTGAAAAATTGTATAAATTAGGTACTCTTATTACTCTGCAAAAATAGAGGAGGGGATGGAGTGCTCAGCATGGAATAAAAGCTGAACAGGAATTTTTTTCCCCTAGATCTGTGGACAGCTATCATTTTTCTGCCCTCAGTTTCCCCATCCATCATACAAGGGTGAGAAGCTGGCCTTCCTTCAGCTCTGACATACTCGGCACCCACCACCATTACCTTGAGATGTATTCTGAACTCCAGCCGCTATTAACTGGTGTTACCACTGTGAGATGGAACGCAAAACAATATGTGCATGAGCACATATAGAACATTGTGTGTGCATGTGTGTGTGTATGTGTGTGTGTGTGTGTGTCTATCCTGAATGCAAAATCAAGTAGGAAAAGCTAACTGTAGAAAAATATCTAGAGCAGGCTCTTATTTTTGTCAGAGTAAGTAACAATCCATATTATTTGTTTAATGCCTACAGAGAAAAATCCTAATTTCTGGAGGGTCAAGTATGACAAGGCTTTCACCTTCCACATTTCCTCCTTGAGTATTTCATTCATTCAAGAAACACTAACTGAAGTCTATTATTTATGAGTCTAGAACTGGGGATATACTGAACTAAATAGTCTTTGCCCTAATTGAGCTTACGTACTAAGGGATACTTAACATCCTATGGAGAGAGCTTGCATTATTTCTGAAATCAAGGGAAAAAAGATGTAAAAACCCATCATAGCGAAAACTTCTTCAGGTTACCATCTTCTAAGTGAGACAATTAGAATATAGGTCAGTGTTAGGGGCACCTGAGTGGCTCAGTTGGATGAGCATCCGGCTCTTGATTTCAGCTCAGGTCATGATCTCATGGTTCATGAGCTTGAGCCCCGTGTCAGGCTCTGTGCTGACAAGCGAGGAGCCTGCTTTGGATTCTCTCTGCCCCTCCCCCCCGTTTCTGCCCTCCCCCCTTCATATGCACACATACTCTCTCTCAAAAATAAATAAACATTTCTTTAAAAAGAATATAGATCAGTATAAGCAATCTGTTCTAAATTTGATAAAGTGCTATTTTATCCATTACCTCACTTAATTCTCTGAGGTGATTACTCCCGTCCATTTAGTAGGTGAACACACTAAGGCACCAACGTGCTAAAGGCTTTGCTGGAGGTGGCATGGCCAATGAAGGCAAGTACCGGGGCGTACATCCAGGTGACTTCACGTCCAGCATGCCCACCCCTCCATCAAGCCTGCCCCTGGCTGGAACCGATGTTTCAGAAGCCAGGACCCACATTTGCCCCTGGAAAGGGAGGCTGTGTGCAGCCCTACCCGAGTACCTGCTGCAGGCGGCTCCTGATGTCTGAGGCACAGAGCTGGAGCATATGCAGGTAGGAGACCTCGGTGTCAATGAGCTCTCTGACAGCCAGCCTCTGATGCAGCAACAGTCTGTCCCCAGAGACCCGGTCTTCTCCGTCGGGACTTCCTGTCCTGGAGGATGGCTCATCGGTCCCATGTTCGGCCATGTCAGCAGGTTCTAGAAGAGGCAAACACATCTCAGCTCACTTCCGGGAGATCTACTGGAACACGCTGTCTCTAATCCAGAGACAACTATTCATCAAGTGCCCTAAAAACATCTCTAGGTTGCGTACTGCAAGATGAACTACGTATTAGCGTTTGTGGGCAGAATCTGAATAACCTTAAAAGGCGGAACGCAGCTCAGATCATTGTTGACATTTTCCAGGATCCAGACAATGTGCTTGCTTAGCTTTTCTTCTATTTTTTTCCCTGTGCTCTTGACCCGGATTTCTTTATCTGGCTCAGCCAAGTCTCTCGCACCCTCCATCGCACCCTCCATCGCACCCTCCATCGCACCCTCCATCCCAGGGGTTCCCTCCTCTCTACCCCCACTGCCTCATTCAGGCCTCATGACCCTTCCCCTGGGCTATCTCCACAGCCTCCAGGAGCACCTTTCCAAGTCCAATCTCTTGCCCTCCTGCTGCTCCTCGCTCATTCATCTTGGATGTGCTTCCAGTTTAAACTTCCTGAAACGAAGCTTGTGATCATGGCATTCCATGCTGTGGGGCTAGAACAGCTCCCTGCTGCTCTGTGGTCCGGCTCCAACCTCGAGTTTCCTTTCACAGACGTACTCCAGCAAAACAGGGCTACGTGCTGTCCTCCATGCCTGCACACTCACATCCTGCCTCTGTGCTTTTGCACCTGCTGCGCCCCTTCCCATGACACTATCCTCGGACAGTCATCCTCCCTAAGGCCTTTCCTGATCCTCCCAGCCAGATGGACTTTCCCTCACTGAGACTCCCACGGCCCCTTTATCTCTAGGTTTAAAAGTACAAATGGCAAAACTGTGGACAACATGGCCTGAAAACCCCCTACTACAAGCCACCTAGAGATGCTGGACCAGGTATAACCAACTTCATTTTCACAGCCTTGTAGGGCTTGCATGGGAATAAAGGGAATAGCAGGGCTCCCAGATAGAGGGAACTAGAAACCAGAGCGGGAGGAGCTGGGGCCCAAAGAGGAGGGGTGGGCAGGGAAGAGGGCATGGCCAATCTCGGTCAACCAGGGACTTAGGCACTGGTGTTCAGGCAGGAACAGGAGATGGGTGGCTTCACAGAACTGGGACCCTCAAAGACGCCAGTGAAAGGGTGGATCCAAAAAAAAAAAAAAACCATACACACAAAACCAAAAATCCCCCCACTCACACAGAAGATGAGGTCATCCTGGCTTGCGTCCAACATGAGGACCAAAAACTCCCCTCTGAAAAATCATAAAAACAGCCCTGCCTTCACTGGGTTTTAGGTTCAGAGTGATATTACACATGTGGTCCAAGTAACCCAAAGCCGAGAAGTGAACAGGAACAGCTGAAGACCAATGCTACTCTGAGTGTCAACAGAAATATAACGTATCCTGAAGAGCACGTGCTTAACCTAGGCCATGAGGTACGCCAGCAAACAACCCTGTCCTGAAGATGTGTTGACAATCCAACATTACAAGAACTCCATGAAAATGAGCAGGATTAGATCCCAAGAACATCAGAGTTAAACTATCAGATAAAAACTATAAAAGAAGCAGGGAAAAAAAAAAAACCCATATTATAAAAAAAGACCTGTATGACTTTTTAAAGCAAATAAAACTTACAGTAATTAAAATTTTAACCTTTGAAATTGAAAACCGGAAGAGCAGATGGTTTTTGAATTTTGTTAATGTTTATTTATTTTTGAGAGAGAGAGAGAGACAGAGTACAAGCAAGGGAGGGGCAGAGAGAGAGGAAGACACAGATCGAAAGCAGGCTCCAGGCTCTGAGCCGTCAGCACAGAGCACGACATGGCACTCAAACCCAGGAACAGTGAGATCATGACCTGAGCCGAAGTTGGACACTTAACCACTGAGCCACCCAGGCGCCTCCCGAATGGGCAGATTTAACAGACATCCAGAAAAAGAAATGGCAAGAGGGCATACAGATGTGAAGAAATTATCCAGACTGCTAAAGAGAAAGAAGAGCATGGAAAATAGAGAATTTAAGGGATGTGCATATTGAAATAAGAAGGTTCATGCATCAAATCTGAGTTCCAGAAGACAAGAATAAAGAGAATGAGAACAGGCAGGGGGCCCGGGTGGCTCAGTCGGCTAAGCGTCCGACCTCAGCTCAGGTCACGATCTCTCAGTTTGTGAGTTTGAGCCCTGCGTCGGGCTCTGTGATGCCAGCTCGGAGCCTGGAGCCTGCTTTGGAGGGAGAGTAAAAACAAAAAAACACAAACCCATATCCTCATCTTCCATAGCAGAAAGTCAAAGAACAATACCTAAATCAAAAAGCTCAAGAAATAACAGTACATACATGCTATTTAAAACAAGGAAGTGAAATAAAACAACAAGGAAGTAAATTTTAAATAATCAGCAAAAAATGATAGAAGGAACTGCCTGGTCATGCCTGAGGCAGGAAAGAAAAGGAATAGGCTGTTTTTCATAACAAACATTGTAGAATCATCTGCCTCTGTTTCTCATAACAAATGTACAATCACCCATCTCTTAAATTATATGCTTTCATAGCTTTAATATGAACTAAAAACCAAATGTAAGAAAAAGTGAAAGTTCTTCAATTTTGATGGATATGAATATTCAAAAATAAAGCATATTACTCTATACACCAACAATATTTTTAAATGCAAAGATAAAAAGATTTGATAATATAATGAAAACATTTATTTCTTCTGAGATATCTTAATTTAATAAGAGATATATAAGATCTTTATGAAAAAGATTATAAAACCTTATTGAACTTATTGAATTGAAGAAGTCATTGTAAGTAGGGATACACTATGTTCATGGATAGGAAGACTCAATATCATAAAGAAAAGAAAAAAATTTTCCCCAACCAGATTCAATTCCAAATCCAATAAAACTCCCAGCACAGTTTCACTTTTTGTTTTTCACTAAAACACAACAAGATAATTCTAAAATATATGCAGAAGAGTAAGGCTAAGACTAACTAAGGCAATCCTGAGGAACAAGATGGGGGGACCTGTCCTATCAGATATTTAGATCTACTTGAAAGCCAATAGTAATTAAAAAGGGTGGTGTTGATATAGGGGCAAACACATTAGTAGAACAGATTAGAGAGCCCAGAAATAGACCACAGTAAAAATGGAAATGTTTTATATGACATAAGTATAAGACTAAGAAAAGGATGGTCCATAGGATAAGTAGTTTCCCATATAGAAAAGTAAATCAATGTAATCCCACATCACACCTTTAACTCCAGATGGTTAAAGACCTAAATGGCAAATATGAAACTCTAAAATTCTTAGAAGAGAACATAGGAAAAAATATTTTTTAATTTTTGTTTATTTATTTTGAGAGAGAGAGAGTGCACATGTGCCCAGGAGGAAGGGCAGAGAAAAAGGGAGAGAGAGAATCCCAAGCAGGCTCCACCTCAGCTCAGAGCCCAGTGCAGGAGTGGATCCCACAACCCTGGGACGATGATCTGAGCTGAAATCAAGAGTTAGACACTTGGGGCGCCTGGGTGGCTCAGTCGGTTAAGCGTCCGACTTCAGCTCAGGTCATGATCCCATGGTCCGTGGGTTCGAGCCCTGCATCAGGCTCTGTGCTGACAGCCAGCTCAGAGCCTAGAGTCTGTTTCAGATTCTCTCTCTCTCTCTCTCTCTCTCTCTCTCTCTGATCCTCCCCTGCTCATGCTGTCTGTCTTTCTCTCCCAGAAATAAATAAAACCTTAAAAAAAAAAGAGAGAGAGTCAGACACTTAACCGACTGAGCTCCCGTAGGAAAATATTTTTGTGTTCTCTGAGGATTTCTTTGACAAGACATAGAAGAAACCCCTAAGGAAAAGATTGGTAAATACTGATAAATCGGATGACTGTAATATTGAAATGTTCTGTTTATCAACAATTCTACAATCAAAAGGAAAAACGAGGCCTCCAACCAGAAGATATTTGTGATGAATACAACCTACAAAAAGTTTAATTATCTACACACAATAAGGAACTCCTATGAATCACTAAAACCAGGCAATTTAAAAGAAAAGCAAAGCATATTGTTGCCCACACAGTACATTGGTTCATTCAATGTCAGTTTTAACCTCCTCCTACTAGGTCATCCTGTAATATGGAAGTGGGATAGCTAAACTCCGGCTCCCTTGCAGCTAAGATTCCAACCTGTGTTTTCAGCCCCACCAATCCAATGGTCTCACGTGAGCCCTGAATTTAGAACTGAGCTAAGTAGGAAGAGAGGTGATGCTTCAGGTATGAATTTAATGGGGCAGGTACTGCACTGCTTTCAAATCATCAATTCTGGCAAAAAACTGTGCCTAAAGTCATAGAATTCGGAAGCCAGCAGTGGAGAGCAGCATCCCAATTCTCCAATTTCCTGATTGTTGCAGAGGGTAGCAATGCCTTCGGAGGGGTCATTCCTGTAGCATGGCCTTGGAATTCATTCCTACGGGCCTGCTCTGTGGTCAGCTTGTCCAGCCCCTCCACTGCTATGGTTAAGCACCTAATACACTCTTTTATATCCCCTACTGGTTAAAACAGAATGCCTTGTGTTTTCTCCAATTAAACTGTGGATGATAGGGGTGTGAACAGGTAATCGACAAAAGAAGAAATTCAAATGCCTAACATATAAATGAAAAGATTCACTTGCAGGGCACCTGGGTGGCTCAGTGGGTTAAGCATCTGACTCTTGATTTTGGCTCAGATCAGGTTCTCATGGTCCTGAGAGCAATCCCAGAGTCGGGCTCTGTGCTGAGAGTGGAGCCTGCTTGGGATTCTCTTTCTCTCTCAAAATAAATAAACATTTAAAAAAGATGAAAAAATTCACTAGTAACTAGGCAAATATGAATCATTAAAACTGCCTGAGATACCATTTCATGCCCATCGGATTGGCAAAATATAAAAATGTTGGTGAGACTGCAGGGGAATGGGGAAGTCTCAGGTACTGATACAGTAATGTAAATTATTGCAACCACCTCAAAGAGCAATTTGGCAATTACTAGAAAATTAAAAAT